CCATTCTGTGATTCTATGATAAACGAAGTCTTTTAAATCAGAACTCAGTTTGGAGAACCAGGGGAGGCAGTTTGGGGGTTTTGGGTTTTTTCTGAATATGACAGTGCCTTCCAGAAGAGAAGCTTGTCTTGTGGTACCTGTACGTCTGTGAAACGCCTTTGAAAAATGAACTGAATCTGGGAGTTCTCGCTAGTCTGGTACTTTTTCTTTCCTGTGCCAGAGGTAATAGGCATTGCAGGAGTGACCAGTTGTGTGTTGGGTGAAGAACATTGAAAAATCACTTGAAACTCTGAAAGCTGTAAGGTGTCTGGAGAAGTTGAGCCTTTTGAGTTAGGCGAGACAAATAATTTGCTTGGCCTTCATGCAAAAGGTGGTGTAAATAAGGTGAGGTTCTTAGGATAGGATCTGGTTTTCGACTGTTAATTGGAATATTTTTCCTCTAGGTTTTGAATCACAACTGTCTCCTAAATATGAAACCTAGTCTCTGCAAACAGGTCTGCATTGTAAAACATTACAGAATTGAGGTGATTTTGATCTGTTAACTATTAGAAGACTTGTATTTTAGCCAGTTACAAACTCCATGTCAGTGTCCTGTTGGTGCAGGGGGTTGAAATGACAGAATAGAGTAGCTTGTTAAGCTGTGGCTTAAACCAGAGCTGATTTTAGCACCTTTCTTACAGAAACAAGGTTATACAACTTATTTCAGGGTTCTTGAAATAACTGCTGCAGGGTGTGTTTGTTCAATTTAGTCTCAATAGTGCCACTGACAGTATCCTGATTTGGCTGCACGCTATTAAAGTGCCTTCAGCTTGGAACCAGATGCTGTAGGTTACAGGGAACCAGGAATTCTCCTGTCTTCGTTAACTAAGTACAGAAAACATGCTGACCAATAATTGCACTGTGTATATTCATACTGGTCTCTTGGGAAAGTTGTTCTTAACACCCTTTTATGGATAATGTCTCTGCCTTCTGAACCTACTTAAATAAATAGACCGCACGTATGTTTTGAAGTTGAAAGCTTGCAGTTTGCTTTTATAAAAGCGTGATTCATCCCAAGGAACTGACTGCTGATGAAGCAGGTCTCTGACGCAAGCTAGATGGACGATGCCTTTAACATACAGCTTTGCTTTTGCTATTTACATGGTCCATTATGTTGTTTTCCTAATATGTCTGTTAACTGAGCGTCGTTTTTTCTGTCCCTCAAATTCTTGAGCAAAATCGGGAAACTTAACTAGGACATGGGATCCTCATGCAGAAAATAACAGGTGGTTAAATCTGCTGTTTTCCCATCTTGTACGTAAAATGCCTCCTTTTTTATTTGCGTGACTATTCAAGCGTTAAAACTCTTCGGGAGTGATTTATGGTAGGTTGAGGACTTATGCTTTATGCAAGATGGTCAAGATGGCTTGAGAACTGACATTTGGCAAAAAGCATGGCTGGAGAGTTGGGCTGCCGGTTGAACAGGACTTCTCAGGCCAGCAGGAGCAGCCAGCGTGCCGTTTCCCTTGTTGGAGATTGGCCTTGCCTGAGCCCAGGAAGGCGAATGATGCGAAGAAGCACAGAAAGCCCCATGGGATACAGCCCGGCCCGGGATGAGGTCACCGCCTCACCTTTGCTCCAGGACAGCGGTCGCTGCACCCAGGTGTTATGCAAGGGCGCTTTGTTAACCTTCCTGGGAGCGATCTGGAATTCTGTCAGTAAAAGCCTAACTCAGAACAGATTTTCAGTGAAAATACTGCAGGCTGGTGATTTGAACTCCCTGCCAAATTCCTCGCTGGAAGGTTGGTTATAAATACTGTCTTAGTGTTTTTCTCAGGTTTCTTTCTTTCTCTCTTTAACAGGCAGAAGAAAATTTCAAGATCAGCCCAGTATAGGGAAGCAGTCACAGCCTTTGGCTAAAAGTAAGACTTCTGCTTTTGCTTCTGTTTCATATGTGTGTTACGTTTAACCATTTTCATGCCTGTCCAAGTATTCTGTTTCCTGGTAGCTGGTGTTAAATGGAGGGTCCTTGCCAGAACAGATGACTTGCTTGCTAGGGCACGTGTTTTCAGCACTAAGGAAGGGTCTTGTATAATAGGTAATGTTTCCACCTGAATTTAAGGTCTTCTTGTCTGTAGTGTTTGCAAGATTTGCTGCATGATTGGGGCAGGCCTAGTGGTCGTCTTATTTGACAGTAATTGTGTTGCTGTCCTGATAGAAGTTAGTGTATGAAGAGGTAGCGTAAGGTAGACAGTTTTCAGAGAGGTTGGTATGTGTTGTTACTGGGAACAGAGTTGAGCCTTCTGCTCGTAGTAGCTCAAATGAGTGTTAGTTTAAACCTTCAAATACTAAACCAAATCAAAATACCTGATATTCAGGATGTTTCCTGTGTGCTGTTTGCTGTGTGTACTCCTTGTGAAGCCGACTGATCCACAGACCACAAACACTTTCTGTGTTTGAGACGCAAATACCGCTGCAGGAACTATTTTTTGGGGATAGGGAGGAGAAGTAACACCACAGAAACTATTCCGGTGATGCCAGGTTTTGTACTGGGCTTTTTATGCAGAGTCTAAATGTAGGTAAAAGCTTGACCTTTTTCAGAACCACTATAATCTCTTAGTCTGGATTTGATTAAACAGAATGGGGTATTGATAAACTTTCAGAAGAGCTCTTTTTTCAGAAGAATGTCCAATTTCTCAGTCAGTCTGGAAATGTGTAAAGATGTCTTTTTTTTTTTTCTTTATGCTGTCACTTCACTATGTTGCTGAAGTTCAAAGCTGCAGTTTTTTTTTTAACTAGAACATCTTTATTATCTTCAACTACTGTACCAGTAGCTTGAGAGTGGGATGAGTTCATTGAGTTCCACTGTTCCCTCTTATTTTCCTCTCACTTGTTGACTTTCGATTGCTTTTAAAACATTCTTTTCCTCCTGTTTGCTGCTCCTTTTTATAGGTGACGGTGAATCACAGAGTGCATTTCACAAGAGATGGACCTTGTTACTGGTTCTGTTAATTGGTGTCCCATTGTTTTATGTCCTGTCGAGTCTTCTAGATGCTACTTTCTCAAGTAGAGATACTCAAATTCTTCAAGCGTTTCGGGCCCGGATGAAGGAACTAAAAAATACATATCAAAGTCAGGACCCCAGTCTGTGGAAAAGAACCCATGTGTTCCTCGAGAAACATCTTAATGCTTCTCATCTGCGTTTGGAGCCAGCCATCTTACTGTTCACAGCCGGCCAAGAAGCCGAGAAAGCACTGAGGTGCCTAAGTAACGAGATCGCCGATGCTTTTGCCCTCTCCCAGAATGCTACTACCATCCAAATTAACGGGGCAGACAAAGCCGTGTTGGATAGTGACGTTGTCAAGCTGGAGGTAGATAATGAGCTCAGCGCTGGGTTCAGAGAAGGCAAGAAGGTAGCGGTGGTGCATCGATTCGAGTCGCTGCCTGCAGGCTCCACCTTAATCTTTTACAAGTACTGTGACCATGAAAACGCAGCATTTAAGGATGTGGCTCTTCTGTTGACAGTTCTCCTGGATGAGCAGTCACTGAGAAGGAGCCTCACCTTGCAGGAAGTTGAGGAGAAAGTCCGGGATTTCCTCTGGGAGAAGTTTACCAGTTCAGATGTTCCTAGTTCTTACAATAGCATGGACACAGATAAGCTGAGCGGGCTGTGGAGCCGTATATCTCATCTTGTGTTGCCTGTTTGGCCTGAAAAGGGCCTCCCTGTGGAGGGGTGCACATAAGAGTTGCTGGAGAGGACTCGGGAAGGGAGAAAGACAGAAAATGTATGTTGCAGTGGCTGAACAGGGAAGAACTTGCGGCGTCTGCTGAGCTCGAGCAGCCATACAGTCCTTTCTGTGCAAAGAAATTCGTTTCTGCCGAAGTTAACTGGGACTTCCCTAAATAACTACGGGATGGAAGCAAGGAACTTGCTGGTTAGTTGTGTTGAGTGACTTATTCTGGCTCCGTGCCCTGGAAGGAGGGGTCCACAAGTGCAGAACCACTCGTCTTCTGAAGCTGTGTTGGTGTGCTATTGGCTTTGCTACGAGGAACCTTTTCTGGCGGTTCGTGAAGCCGGTGTCACGTCTGACAAGGTAATGGGGTGCAAAAACGTCACCTTCGCCTGCCAGAATCGCTTAGTTTTCTTCTGACATCAGAAAAAAACTCATGAACCGATGATGATGTAGTGATGTTGAGTCTAAGCACAAGATTTTTCTTGATCCATCTGATCACAACGTAGACGTCAGCTGTTGCCAGTGACTTGTAGAGAACATTTCAGGAAGCGTTTCTTCCTTAAATGAGCCTGCCCCAAACAGTTCTGGGAAGTGAGAAAAGCAGAAGTAGGAAGGATTGTTTGACATGAGTAGCACTGAGATCAGTTAAATAATCCTTTGGCACTTCTTTGTCTCCAGGAATTCTCTGCTCTTTGTCAAAGCTCTGCAAGTCTTAAAATTGGGGGGGGGGGGGGAATGATCAAATGTCAGCTGCATGTGTACTAAAGACCTATTGTATCTTCTTTCCAAACACAAGTTTAGGAAGACAGACATTATTTCTCATTTTAATAAAGTAATTATTTTTGCATCGAAAGAATTTATTTATTCGTGGTACGTGGTATCACAGAAAAATAACCTGTCTGCATATAACCTGCTGCTTGCTGCACAAGCTTCTAGTGAAGAACAGATTTGCAACGCCTGTTTTTAATATACGTATTTTTAGCGTGCCTCATGCCAAGAATCCCTCACACCAGACTAAAAACATGTACTTGTTTCTATTTGGTTTTTGTGTTTTTAAAAAAGAGAATCACAGCACTTCCATGTCACTGCTGTTAGTTGATGCTCCCGAACTGTTGCTCTGTGTGTATTTGGTTTTATTGAGTACCATGTGAAAACTGCTCTCAAATTAATAAGATGTCCTCTTGTAACAGCTGAGAGATTAGTGGCTCTTGGATCCTTTATTCCCAAACCCCTCGGGAGCTGCCCTGTTGCAAAAAGTCCTTTTTAACCTGGAAAACCTTGAGGTGCTGGAGCTTCTGGCTTCTTTGTGCAAGGAAAGGTGTGGGGAGTTACGTGGAACGGACCAAAGTCACCTTAAGCATATAAAAGAACACAGTTTGAGAGAGACAGAGCTGTGGTCACTTAAACCCAAGGTGTGGATTTGTTCCTGAGAGGCAGCAAGGGATACTTGTTTTTTGTTTTATTTTAATGGGAAGAAATAGCAAAAAAGACATGGAAGTGCTGCTGTTATGGATGTTTAAGAATAGCTCAGGAAGGAAAAAGATGGCATTTACATTTTGGACATTTCACTGGACAAATGGGTTTTCTTAAAAAAAACAACTGTGACTTATTTCTGAGTGTGTCCCGACAGCGTATCTGTTTGTATATTATGTAAACTATTTTAGTAATCATTAAAAATAAATCTACTTGTTTGTTTATAAGCTGTTTTAAGACTTTCCCACTGAATTTTAAGTGGTCAGACTTTTTTTAACGTGTGAAAGATTGGGGCTTTGTTGTACCTTTGACCAAATACAGATGCCTAAAGCCTTTTGCAAAAACTTAGAACTTGTGAGAAGTTGGAGTGGGGTGATAGTGGGATTTGATAGTATCAGGGCTTTTCTCTAACGGGACCTTGCAGGAAGTTGTGACAGCTTGGAATTGTCTTTCACTTGGTGTTTCTGTATGAACCCTCAGTTCTGATTTCAGCTGGAACTCGTCAGATCTGGTTGTTTCGTTAGTGGGACACGAGAGTCAGCAGCTGACAAAAGGGCTGACTTCATTCTTCTCCTGGCTGCGTGTTCCTGTAGCTCTGCTGCGGCAAGTAGTGCGCTGGGAACTGACATGAGGGGCAGTCTTAAAACTAGCTTAGGAAAAATAAATATATATTTAGCAGAATTGGCAACCACCACCAAAAAAAAAAGACTAATGTGACATGAAAGCAGGAGATTCTACACTTTTATACTAATAAAACATAATCCAGGTTATTATGTGTTTCTGAAAGTGTCCCCCCATAAGTTCATGCGGTATTGAAGAGCTACATTCCATTGTTTCAAGACAAAATAGGAAGGTGCCTGGAAACTAAAGACTTAATGTTGTGCCAGACAAAGGAGAATCACTTCTTTTTTGGTTAACTGTTGGGAAAGTGAGGTGTATTTCCAAGTATATGGTGTGCTGCTTAATCTGGAAACATAAATCACCGAATGGTTTGGGTTGGAAGGGACCTTAAAGATCACCTAGTTCCAACCCCCTGCCATGGGCAGGGACACCTTCCACTAGACCAGGTTGCTCCAAGCCTCATCCAGCCTGGCCTTGAACACTTTCAGGGATGGGCCATCCACAGCTTCTCTGGGCAACCTGTCCCAGTGCCTCCCCACCCTCTCCGGGAAGAACTTCTACCTGATGTCCAATCTAAACCTCCCCACTTTCAATTTAAACCCGTTACCCCTTGTCCTGTCACTACAGACCCTTGTAAAAAGTCCCCCCCCCCAGGCACTGGAAGGTGCTGTAAGGTCTCCCCGGAGCCTTCTCCAAAAAAAACTTAAGATGCTGCATGCAGCCCTTTCTGGAGAAGGGGGAAGGCTCAGGATTAGAAGACTGTTCCCACTGTTGAAGAAGTAGGTCCCTTTTGTATCTGTGGCTTTGTCCTTAAAAGGCTCAAGTTAAATAGCCACAGGTACTTCATGAGATCTGCATGGAGTGACTCCTCAGCCAGAGGTGAACAGTAATGTGTGTCTGTTGCTCACAGGCAGCTGATTACTATCCTCCTCCTGTAATTATTTCATTGCCTGCAGCAAACGTAGCGATTTGATGTTTTCCAAACTGTAAAATACTTTGGCTTCTTTTCGAGAAATCTCACTTCTGAAGGTGAATTGTCCTTAACTGGCAGCAACTCAGCAAATTAGTCTGTGACAGCAAAAATGTGCTTATATAGAGCAGAGACACCAGGTCTGGCCTTGGGACTGAGAAGGGGATCTTGTTCTGTGGGAGTGCAGCGTACAAACTTTGGGCAGAACACAATCTTTAGGGAGCTGAACCAGCTACACCCCAAAATTTCTGTTGTTACCGCGTCTCACACCCTGCTCTGAGTCACGCTGCGCTGAGCAGTGGAGTTTTGAGCGTGCTGAGCAGGTTTGTTTAAAGGACTAATTTTTTTCTCCCCCTTTTTTTCACACCAGTGAGAGCCATTTGCTTGTTTTCCACAAATAAAAAAAAAAAGGCGGTTTTCATGCACTTTTGTTGAAAAACGTTTTGAACTCCTCATCGATTGGGCTCAAACTGCGTGCCAAAGGCAGGGTGAGCTCCCTGTTAAGGCAGGGACGAAGCATGCGCTGTATGGACTCTGGCTGTGTGCACCGCCTGCTGTGCAATCGCCATCTAGGAACAGAAGAATCCGGTTTTGGAAGCGTGTAAAGAGAACAAATCCGAGGTGAGCACTTTGTAAGGCCAAATCACGCAGAGAACAATTTGCCATGCGTTGTTTCTGCCGTAAGACAAACTGCAAAATTGTAGGAATGTGGAGAAGGGTGTGTGTGTGTGTGTGTGATCCTATAGTCCTCACAGCTGTCCTGTTTTATTGTCAACTCCTGACAGTTGGATTTATAATTGAATGCCTGGACAACCTCATTCCATGTCCAACAGGTGGAAGCACCCTTCCCCAAATTCTTCTCTTGGGAGCCATGTCAGTCAAGGCATGGGGGGAGGGAGCCTGAGGGGCTCCAGCCTTTCGGCTGCACTAGCCAGCTGCCCCTTTCTAATTTTAGAAGGGGTGTGCAAGAGCAGTGTGGAGTGGAAAACTTCCCAAACCTCTCTCTTCAAGCTGCAGTCACCACACTGGCGTAAGATGAGACTGTGGCTCCTGCCTTCTGACCTTCCGTCTCCATCCACCACTCGCAGCGCAGTGCTGCGTTGCTCCACGGTTCAGTGAGCAGTTCATCCCACTGGTGCGTGTTCCATCCTCCCTTTTCTCTCAGCTGTGGCTGTTTGCAGGTAAACGCTTTCTTTAATGCTAACCTTAGAGGATTTCACAAGATGGTCGCATTTTCCATGAGAATGTCCTTCTCTTTTTGTGCAATGTTTGCGGGCCAGAGCTTTATGCCCATTCCTTCAAAAAGTCACCTAAAGTTTTACAATTAAGTTTCACTGACAGAATAAATAGAAGCAAAACCAGTGGATAAACACTGCCTTCTAATTTTATTTGACTGACAGAAACCAAATGCTTTTCATGTTGGAGAAAATCCTAATGTGATGCCTTGATTGCCTGAAGATGAAAAGGCGGAGCATGAAACCAGATTAACTGCTTCCAAGCAGAAAAGAGAAACTATGTTTAAAAGCATAATTAAAGAGGTAGTGCATTACAAAAGCTCTGAATAATTTAAATAGGCTGCCAACCCGGCAATATTAAGCAGTAAATTTAAGCAAACACTGGGTGATGATGGCAAATGTAATAACTCGCCCTAGTCTGTGATCGGGGCTCCCATACACTGTGGTAATATTGTTCATTGACTGAAATTGTCATCATCATCATTATTATTGTTGTTATTATTACTTACGGTCCTGCATTTGGAAGGAGCAGGTTGGCTCTCTGAGGACTAGGAAGGGATTATTACTTACGGTCCTGCATTTGGAAGGAGCAGGTTGGCTCTTTGAGGACTAGGAAGGGAATTAGGCACTGCTTAGGACTTTTTCCACTGGAGCTGTGCTCCTCCTTTGGTGTCCATGCATTTCTTTTCCCTCATCTGGCAAAACAAAAG